GGGGAGGGAGAGAAAGAGAAGTTTAATTAGTGCCAACAAAGCCCAGTGCTAGGCCTTTCCTAAATGTTATCTTGTTTTATAAGCCCTCGGGCAGCTGCCCAACAAGCCTCTTTCACTGTCTAAAGAGAGGTGGGGCATTAAATACACTGGGAACAAATGAGGTTGGTGATAAGCGGGAGCCCTTAGCACCTGGAGATCAGAGACCATCCTGATCACACCCGGAGAGACTGGAAACACCTCTCAGCAGAGAAATGTCAGAATAAACAAGTCTCAATTTACATTCCTCCTATGACATGCTACTTACCCCTGCAGCAAAGCCGAGACTGCCATCTAAGATCCGCCTCTGCAAATGAAAACAGGGTGTTTCAGTTTCTAAGGGGTATTTCCTGGGACAAGAGGGAGCCATAACCCATAAGAGAGCCACATGAATAAAGACTGGCCCACGCCTGCGTTTTCAAGCTTTACTGGAAGCCTGGATCTGACCCTTTTTAAAATGGGCCAAAATACGGGGGGCAGGAATTTTTTTAACTTTCCATCCATCCCACAGCCAGAGTCTCCTCTCAGTGTGGTGCACAGCTTTCACGGGTTCCCATGTTACCTCTTACATTCTCTGTGAATCAGGACTAAGAACCTTTAGTAAGCAGCTGGCCAAAAAGACAGAAACTGACAAGTGTTGGCGAGGAGCGTGCAGACCAACCAAAACCATCCTGCGCTGCCGGTGGGGGTACAAACTGGCACAGCCACTGAAGTGACCACAGGCACACCCTGTGACCCAGCAGTGCCACGCCTGAAACATTACCTAACAGGAACACATACTCAAAGTCACCAAACACGTGTACAGAAATGCTCTTAGCAGCACTGTTTGTGAGAGCTGAAAACTAGAAACTATCCAATGGGTACATCCATTAGGATATATTCATACAACAGAATACCATACGGCAGTGAGAACACACAAAATATATATGAATGGCGCTCACAGTCAGGCAGAGACATCCAGTAAACTGGAAAACAAACAGGGTGAAACAGGCAGACACAGAAGAGCACATACTACATGATTACTCCATTTATATAATGTATAGAAACAGAGAAAACTACTCTCTGCTGTTGGAGGCTAGGAGGGGAGCTGCCTTCTATTGGAGGTGGGGTGTGGGTCGTGATTAAAAGGGAGCCTAAAACGGCTGCTGGGGGGAGAGGGGGTACTGTTCTAGTGCTTGATCTGGGTACTATTTTCATGGGAACATGTGAAAAAATTATCAAGCTGTACATTTATGAAATGAGTATTTTTCTATATGCATCTTATATTTCAGCCAAAAGGTGTTTTTTTTAAGAAGTGGCCTAAATTAGGAATATAATCTCTAGCCACGTGAACACCTTACAGGCACGTTGAGATGTTACTCATCAGACCTGTGAGACTCCCATGAGGTCTGCGTAGCTAGAGCTGCGGGGTCGCTCATCTCCAGCCACAGGCAGCCTTTCCCCCAAGTGACTATGGGGTGGCAGGAAGGCTTTGACCCCAGTAAGCCATGCAAGGGACATTCTTCTCAAGGCACGCCATGACATCAGCCAAGTTAATCTGGCCAACTCATTTAATCAAGCCAGGCAGGTATAATAAAGGAGAGAGGTAAAACCATCCTACCGGCATTCATCTGGATCTTCAAAGGAAAAACATGACACTTTTATTTAAGGTCAATAAACCTGTTGTTCCAAATAAACTTTCAGGAATTATTTCAAGGAACTAATCAGATATGTGCTCAAAGATTTGTGTCCATCATAACACTACTTCTAAAACCAAGAAAAAAGGCCATAACAGAATTGTCCTGCAGCTCGAGATTGGATAAATAAATTTCGGTACATCTTTATGATACGATACTACATAACCATCTAAGTAATCAAAATAATCAAAGTAATCAAAAATCCATTCAGGGATATGGGGGCTGCTTATGATATCAAGTGAAAAGCTAGTTATAAAGCATTACATACAATTTGACCCTATTACATAAAGAAAATAGACATGTATATACTTAAGCATAATCAAATACAACTGAACAAATTTGAACAAATACGTTTTTTTCCTGAGAAGTAGGATTAGAAACTTTCTAAGTTATTTCTTTAAGCTTTTCCATATTTGACCAGTTTCCTAGAATTAAAACACGATTTTTTTTAAGTCAGGAAAACAAGTTCTGCGTGAAGCTACACCAATGTTGATAACAAAGGGCAGATGTCTGAGTGTCTCCTACCTCAAGTGACCCTCATCGCACCCCCATTTCAGTTGGGTGAAAACTGAGGTTTGCTCGGGGACAGAGAATACCTCTGTGGACTCACACCTATTGCAGTCTTTGTCTCCCCACTTCCCACACACACTCCTGTGCAGAAAGGGTTAACACAGCCCACCTGAGCCTGCTCTTAAATAGAAAGTCCTGCTCTCAAGGCTGGGTTTTGGGAACTTGGGACTGAAACTGCTCCCTCCATTCCCTAACCGATCAGGAGGGTCACTGAGCCTATTGATGCGGGACACCTGCTTCCTTCTGCGAGTCTGAATTTTGGTGGTAACAGTGGCCAGAGCCCAAGAAGAGCCTGAGTCTCTAATGGGCGTCCCTGGGCAGACACATGGAAGCAGTATTGGGAAAGGAGCACCCTGGGTGCCCACCGCAGGGCAGGAGCAGCGGGAGCTTGGGCACACGTTTCTCTAGGCTCTGCCTGTGTCTTCCACTCACTGAGCCTGTTTTATGCCCTTTCATTATAACAAACCATAGGGACAACTACATGCGGAGTCCCGTGGGCCCTTCTGTGAATCAGCAGACATGTGGGTGGTCTTGGGGGACCTCCTATGTGCCTCCACACAGGGAAAGGCCTCAGCAACCCCTCCTCCTTTCCAGCTCCAAAGGGGAAGGGGGCGCCTCTGGGATGGCTCTCCACTTCTGAAGAGCCCCACAGCATCGGAGAGGGCCACACGGGGCTGGAGGTTCTACTCATCATGGTGCTGCACTTAATTCAGATCTCAATGGCCAGCTAGACCCCAGAGAGTGCCCCTCAGATCCTTCCTTCTCGGAGCAAAAGAAACTGGTAAATGTGGAAACGTGGGCTGCTCTTTCCCTGAGGGCTCAGGAATAGGACCCCGTGAAACCCGTGTGGCTGTCAGGAAGGAGAGATGCCCAGCAGCCCTCTCCTCTGGCTTCTGGGCACCTCTCACTCAGGGACTGGCTTTCGGATGTTTTCACTACCTGTGGACAGTAACCTGGAGTCGGGGTTGCGGGTCTAGAGTTCCAAGTCTCTGACAGAGCCCAAGCCTCCCACTGGGGAGGGAGGAGAGTGCAGCGGGGGGAGGCCGATCTTATCGCTGACATCAATACCTGCTTAACTGGTCTCTAACACAAGAGTGACTCCCTGGCCAACCTCCCAGGCGTGTTTGAGTTTCCAGATCCGCCTCACAGCACGTTTAACTAGATCTGAAATCACCTACTCGCTTAGCACTCCTACAATTTCCAAGGCTGCAGTCATCGAGTTATTCACAGATGGCTCTGGGCCTGGGGATGGAGGGAGGCAAGGGCTGAAGAAGACTAAGGAATTCAGGCCCAGGAGGTGGGCAAGGGCTGGGGAGGAGAGGGGTGGGGTATGTGGG